TTCTCCCTTCCTCCCTCCCCACCCCCCTCACTCAGAAGGCAAGCAATTCTATATAGGTTATACCTGTATAGTCATGCAAAACATATTTCCATATTAATCATGTTTGTGAGAGAAAACATAGACCAAAAAAAAAAACTCAAGAAAAATAAACTTATGCTTCTATCTGTATTCAGACAGCATCAGTTCTTTGTCTGGGGATGGATGGCATTTTTGATCCTAAGTCCTTCAGAGTTGTCGTGGATCATTGTATTGCTGAGAAGAGCTAAGTCATTCACAGCTGATCATCTTACAATATTGCTGTTACTTTGTACACAGTACATTTCATTTTGCATCAGCCCATGCAACTCTTTCAAGGTTTCCAGTCTTTTCAGCATCCTGCTCATCATTTCTTACAGTACAATGGTATTCCATCACAATCACATAGCACAATCTGCTCAGCCATTCCCTAATTGATGGGCATCCTCCCAATTTCCAACTCCTGGCCACCAGAAAAGAGCTGCTATAAATATCTCTGTACATATAAGTCCTTTTCCCTTCTTTATGATCTCTTTGGGATATAGACCTAGTAGTGGCATTGCTGGATCAAAGGGTATGTACGGTTTTATAGCCCTTTGGGCATAGTTCCAAATTGCTCTCCAGAATGGCTGAATCAGTTCACAACTCCACCAACAGTGCATTAACGTCTCATTTTTCCCACATCCCCTCCAACATTTGTCATTCTCCTTTTCTGCCCTATTAGTCAATCTAACAGGTATGAGGTAGTACCTCAGAGTAGTTTCAATTTGCATTCCTCCAGTCAATAGCGATTTAGAGCACCTTCTCATATGGCTATAGATAGCTTTGATTACTTCATCTGAAAACTGTTCACATCTTGACTGTTTATTAATTGGAGAATGGCTCCTATGCTTATAAATTTGAATCAGTTCTCTATATATTTGAGAAATGAGGCAGATAGGTAAAATTCTAATCTCAAAGAAGTGCTTCTGGGCTACCACAGAGTTCAGGGAAGGGACCACATCCGTTTTTGTTCTGGACCCAAGCATGTGGTTTGACAGGGTTCAGTCCTGAGGAAGCCCAACTCTAATGAGAGAGGATTCCCTTTCCTCACCCTCACTTTCTCCCTCTTTGCCATGTTGTCTCCCACACTGGCAACCCTGGGATGATTTTACTCATATCTACAGCCTCCCCAAAAAGGAGGAACCAGAAAAGCGCCGAATGTTTTATAAGAATCAGAGATGGGATAAGTAATTTATTCCTGCACACAAAAGGAATGCTAAACACAGGACACATACAAAGGCAAACTTAAACTAGGATTCGGTAACAACTTATAACTAATGTTTCTATCTGCCAGGAGGCTGGCTGATCATCAGATTTCATCAGAACAGCAAGCAGTTAGCATGATTGCTCCTTGCGTGTTCTGTATGCTTGCGATGTGCACTCTTAGTACATGTCTGCTGCAAAAATGGAAAGGCTTGGGCCAGCTCTCTTCCTGGTGGCTGAGCTCTACCGTGCAGATGCAGTCCCTGCCTTGAGCTACTGCTGCCACTCTGGTGAATGCCACTGGGACCTGCCATTTTGGGGCCACTGCTGCTGCAAACCTCTGGACCTCTCAAACTCAAAAAGCTTCCTCCAACCTTCAGACAGGTTCATGTCCAGTCAAGTCAACAACCATCCTTTATTTAAGCACCTACTATGTGTCAACACTTTGCTGGGGATACAAAGACGGGTAGACAACAACAAAACCAATAACGTTTCTCCTCTCAAGGAGCTCACATTCTAACAGAGACAACATGCAAACAACTATGTACAAATCAAAAAACAGGAAGAATAAAGGAGTGCTAATCAAGAGGCCCTATAGTTAAGAGGGTTCAGGAAAGGCTTCTTGCAGAAGGTGGGATTTTAGCTGGGACCTGAAGGAATCCCGGGAGACCAGGGCACAGAGATGAGCAGGAGAATTCCAGGCATGAGGGACAGTGAGTGAAAGTTCTGTCAGAAGTTGGGAGTGTCTTGTAGAAGGAACAGCTAGGGGGCCAGTATCACTGAATCACAGAGCATTTGGTTACGAATAGGGTGTATAATGGCCGGAAAAGGGGGTGGCAGATTATGAAGGGCTCAGAATAGCAAACAGAGGATTTCACATTTGATCTTGGTGATGACAAGAAGCCACTGGAGTTTATTAAAAGGAAAAGGAAACAAAAAATAAAAAGGCAGCCAGAATCCCATGCACAAAACTCTCTGAGTGGAAAAACCCTCAAACCAGGTGTCTTTGTGGGCATGGTCACCACGATACCAAGGTGAAGAAAAGCCAGAGATTTCTTGCTGGGAGGTCCCAAATTTATGTTGCCACCTGGACAGTCAAAAGCACTGGTTTTTGTGTTTTGGTTTTTTTTAAAGGCAATTTGGATTAAGTGACTTGCCCAGGGTCACACAGCTAGTAAGTGTCAAGTATTAGGTCTTTGGTTGGATTTGAACTCAGATCCTCCTGACTTCAGGGCCGATGCTCTATCCACTGCGCCACCTAGCTGCCCCAAAGCACTGGTTTTTTAAAAAATATATTTAAATGACTTATTGCAATTAAGTTACAACATTTTGATCATCAGTTTGTATGGAAGGAAGTATACAGATAAAACAATTACTTTGTTGGAAATAAAATTTGCTTATGCAGCCAACTGCTGGATGACTTGTTACTAAAAAGAACAAACCAAAATTTCTGTGTACTCAAGTGCTAAAAGTTACACCTTAGTATTACACAAATTAGATCCTATAGTCAAGAACTAATATACATATTATTTCAGATTGAAACCATCATAAGATCAAGGGTGGGGAACCTGTCACCTCGTGGCCAATGGCCCCTTAGGTCCTCAAGTGCAGTCCACTTCTGGATTCAGTCAAAGGGCTGCACTTGAGGACCCAGAGGTCCATACGTGGCCTCGAGGCCAAAGTTCCCCACCCTTTATTGAAACCATTAAGTTAGCTGCATAATTTGAAGTACTCTTTAAAAAGTAAAAAGATGTTTAGTATTTGAAAGACAGCCAAGAGTTATTTAAGGTGCCCTTAGCTATTTCTAAAGAAAAAAATCTGGCTAATGTAAAGAGCTTAGTTTTCCTTAGCAAGACCATTGGTGATGGATCATGTCTTAGTAGCTGTATTTGGAAATGCCGACCCTTCAGAAAGAGTACAACCTCCTATTTCCCACTGTAACTGACATGGCACTGTAAATCCCCTGCTATTACTGGGCATTGGGGAGGAAGTGATCAGAGGACCAAGAGATCGAGGCTTGCCATTTCATACTAATATGCTAAGTCCTCCCACCATTGGGCCACTACAAAGTTCTCATGTGTTTAAACCAAAACCAGGAAGGTCAATTCTGATAATAGCTCTTGCTACATCAAAGAAAAAGACATAGATAAAATAAAATACTATAGGCATGGGGCAAGCATATTATTTTCCTCATTTCACAAAGGAGGAAACAGAGGTCCAGAGGTTAAATGATTTGCCCAATATCACAGTTAGCTAGGAGCAGGATTTCAAATTTTCAGCCCCACCAGGATATCTAAGGGGGAAAGTGATTGGTGCCACAGGAAAGATCTCAACACAAAGGAAAAAATGCCATAGCCATTCAGACAAGAGATCAGAACCGGCTTTCGTGAAGAACTAGAATTTCAGTTGAGCTATGAAGGAGGGCCAAAGCTGGGGGATGGAAGAAGGCATTTTTGGCACAGAGAACGATGTGGGCCAAGCTTAGAAGGGCCCTTAGAGATTATTTAGTCCAAGCCTTTTGGGGGTTTTTTTGGTGAGGAAATCAGAGTTAAGTGACTTGCCCAAGGCCACATGGCTAGTGTCATATGTCTTGAGACTGGATTTGAACTCATGTCCTCCTGGGCTTCAAGGCCAGAGCTCTATACCCTGCGCTACCTAGCTGCCCCAGTCTAAGTCTTTTAATTTACAGATGAGGAAACTGAGGCCCATAGTGGTGGGGAGAGGAGTGAAAAAACTCCACGAACCAATGGCAGAGGGACCTAGGGACGAACGTCTAGTTTGTCTGGAGGGGAAAGTCTTAGGACATAGCGATGGAAAAGAGGTCAGTGCAGAGGGTCTCAATACGGGACCTGGACTTTGCTCTGGGGAACTAGGCATCCCAGCACCCAGCGCCTCCCCGTCCTCTCATGTTCTTCTTTGCCACATCCACAAGGTGGCAGAAAGAGCCAATCTCCCCTGGGTTCTGCCCCTTTGTACAGGTGAAGCCAGGAAACCTAGGAGAACAGAGGTATTTATTCCGTGGGCCGGACTTGGCAAGAAGTCTTTCGCACCAAAGCTGCCCCTTTAAGAAGCTCAGGTTCCCGGGCAAGGGGCGGAGGAGGAGTGGTGTTGACCTCAGGGAGGGACTCCTGGGAGCTGTACCATGAAACTAGGAATAGAGGGAGGGTACCCAGGAGGATAGTGGCCCACTTACCCTCAGTCCCCGAGGGACACATCCAGAGGTTTACTTTGATGAAAATCAGTTAATCCGTTAAATTAATTTAATTAGGCGGAGACTCGAGAGGGAGAAGCCTCTAAGAAAAGTGCGGAGAAAGTTGAGAGTGCTGAACTACTAGTCAAAGGTTTTACCCAATCACTGTTTACCCCCATGGGATGCTCATTTGGAATCTCCCGCCCGATCCCTTTCCTTACTAAGTACCTGGGTCGGTCCATTGTTACTGTAGGGGAGGACGGACAGGTGAGTTGCCAGGTCCCTCCCACCTTCAACAGGTGGTTCATTCCTTGTTGTCCTCTTTCTCAGAACTTGAGATCTGTTCTTTCTGAATGACGGTTAGTGGAAGGAGTAGAGGGACGCCCTCCCACCTCTTTTCATCCATCAGTCCTTTGGTGTCACCCTCCCTGGGCTCGCACCTGGACCGGTCCATTTCCGGGGCTCTGGAGAGCGTGGGAGGGGTCAACCCCTGAAACCCCACCCCTCCCATGCTGGGTGTACCTGGGCCATTCCATTTCTAAAGTGGGACAAAAGAGATTTTGGGGGGTGGGAAATTAGGGACCCTCCTGGGTCAGCTCAGAGGCGAGAGATCAGCCAAATATGGAGAAACTGGTTTTAATTCATCTTCTTTTAAATTCTTGCAAGGGGCCGCCAAGGAGGCAGGATGGGCAGGTGAGCCTCTGGTGCTTAAGTGTGCGAGTGTGCCTCCCCCCTCTGCCGTCTCAAGCGATGGTACAGGCCACCCCCCCCCTGCCCCGCAGCCCCCTCCCCTGGCGGCGTCCAGTCCCCTCCCATCCCTTCCATCCCCTCCCTTGTGCCGCTGTACCTTGGAGTGGACGGCGCCGGAGGCGCACGCACCTCCCATGGCTCCGGCGGCCCCCGTGCCCCACGAGGGCACAAGTGCATCCCCAACACCCCCAGGACTGGACCCACGACGGTGGAGTGCGCCGCCTCTGCTCTGGCTGCTGCTCCTGCTGACCCCCTGGTGCTCAGGTATCCGGCCGCGGGGCTGGGATTGTTGGGGCTGGCTGCCCGGGCCAAGGCCCCCTCCCCCATCGGTCTCCCAGGCCCTCCCCTTCCCACTCCCGACCCAAGACGACCGATACCCGATGTCCTCAGGGGACTTCCCGGGCGGGCGGGGCGGCGGGAGCAAGGAGCGGCCCGCCTCCACCGGGAGGCAGGAAGCGAAACTTCCCGCAGTTCTAGCCTTTCTGGGACAATGGGCGGGGGAGGGGGAGGGGAGCGGTGCCCCGCGGGGCTGCGGGGTCCGTGCCTGGGGGAGGGGGAGGCGAGGCGGGGCGGGCGGGCGATCGATCCGTCGATCGCTCCGTAGAGATCCCTTCTCTGGGAGGCACGGACTCAAGTGGGATAAAGGGTTACTGCAGCAACAGGTGCGTGCGGACGCTAGTGGGAAGTGCGGGCACTTGGCAGAGCCCGGCTGGGTGCGGTTAGTTGAGGAAGGGCCAGCCTGGAGCCCCCGGAGTGGGAACAGCTACCACTGCTGCTGTCCGCTCAGTCTTCCGACGCTTTGCAAACTCTAGGAAAGCACTTTCCTCCCGACAATACTGGGAGGTGGAAGTCACAGGACGAATCGATCAGCAAGGATTAGAGCCGGTAGTTACTAGAGAGGCCATCTGGGCCAGTCCTCTCCTGGAAATGAGGCCATTGCGGCCCGGGGAGGTTAAGTCACTTGGCCAGAGTAGTCAGGCCCAGGGCTAGGGTTCGAGGACCAGATCCTGTGACACTATCCAGCATTTTTTTCCCTACCACTTCCTAATTTTGCAGCTGTTATCATCCCTGTCTTTTACAGATGAGGAAACGGAGGCCAGAGCTCACAAGATTCTAGAGATAGGAAGGACCTTAGAGGTTATCCAGTTGGCACTTAATAAATGCTTGCTGATTGAGAAAACAGAGCCAGAGGAGGTCAGGCAGTGATCGTCCCAAGGCCACAGAGGTGGCAGGTTGCCTCCAAATTAAATTCAGTGTGCATTACTTTAGTAAGCATTCTCTCTCCAGCAACCTACCCCTTGCTTCTCTTGGAGGCTGAAGTGACTTGCCCAGGGTGACTCCACTAGGTCTGGGATCAGTCTTATCTATGTGGGTATCCTGCCCAACACTGCTATCCCTAAATTAGAATCACAGGATTTTAGTGCTGGAAGGACCTCCTTGTGTATCCAAGGACCCCAGCCTCTCTCTGAAGGCCTCCAGTGAGAGGGAAGCTCCCCTCCCTGCTCAGGCGGTCAGTGCCACTTGGGGACAGCTCTGTGGGAGGAAGATGTTTCAGTCATGAGCCCAACTCTCACTCTTTGCTCCAAGTGACAGCCCTTCACACTTGGAGGGCAGTTCTTAGCTGTCCCCTGAGTCTTTGCTTCATCCCCAGTGCTTTCAACTGCCCTTGCTGTGAGCTGAGTTCAAGGCTCTTCTCCATCTTGGTCCCCTCCCCTTCTAGGTGTGGTCTGCCTTTCCAAAGTCCTTCCAACTCTTGTGCCCAGAACTGAATGACAGCAACCATAGGAATAGCATCAGTACTGAGCCTAAAGGTTTGCAAAGTGCTGTGCGTCTACTAGTATGTTTGGTTCAGGGAGGGAGGTGCTGTTATTAACCGAGTGCCATCCCCGTCCATGTCTGGGCATCCCGTGAAGCTCTTGTCCAGGTCTTTCCATAAGGTTGCCACAGGGGAGCCATCTGACCTTCAGGGGTCTTGCTCTGCTTTTTGGGGGGGTGCTGAAGCCCACATCCAGTAAATCTTAGTGACATCTAAGACCTTGCCCTCTGACCATGCCATAGTGATTTGCTGATAAACCAGTTGAGAGTCAGGACTGGGTTCCAGTCACTAGTCCAGTATTCCATGTTGTATGACTGTAGGCAATTCATTCCTTGGTGCCTCAGTTTCCTTCTCTGTAAAAACCTAATAATCCCTTGCCCTGCATGTCTTACAACGGTGGTTTTGAGGATCAAATAAGATAATGAGTATGGAAACATACTGAATGGATGTGAAGGGTGATGATTAGCGTGGTTGACTGAGCGTCCTCCGTCCCTCGCTGACCCCTGACTTCTCTCCTTGACCTCCCAGCTCCTGTTGGCTGCATCCAGGTCACGGTGTCCAACCCCTTTCATGTGGTGATCCTCTTCCAGCCGGTGACCCTTCCCTGCTCCTACCAGGTATCAACACTGCCCACTGCCCCCATCGTCCTCTGGAAGTATAAGTCCTTCTGCCGGGATCGCATCGCCGATGCTTTCTCCCCAACCAGCACGGACAGCCAGCTCAATGCCCAGCTTGCTGCTAGCAACCCAGGCTACAACCCTTATGTGGAGTGTCAGGACAGCAGCCGAACAGTGAGGGTGGTGGCCACAAAGCAGGGGAACGCTGTGACTCTGGGCGAATTCTACCAAGGGCGACGGATCACCATCACTGGGGGTGTGTAAGGTGGAGGAGGGCAGAGGGTATGGGAGGAAGAAGAGGCAGGGGGTGGGGAGGAACTTCTGTATGCTAAACAGGAAGAGACTTTAGTATTAAACCCCACCCCCCAACACACACACACACACACACACACACACACACGCACGCACGCACGCACGCACGCACGCACTTTTTTGTTATTGAGGAGGAAGCACGTCCAGGGAGGGCCTGGGATTTGTTGGGGCTCCTGGGTAGAGCCAGTCCCCCAGCTGAGTTTGCATCTAGGGCTCAGGCTGCAGTGTCCTCTGAGCTCAGCATTCACCCTGTGCCTTATACAAAGCTGCTCAGTAAATGTTTGTTGAATGAATGAATGAATGAAAGCTTGTGTGTTGGCTCTGCCACCAACTGCTGGGTGGCCTTATTTGACCTTGTTAGGACTGTCCATTCAGTCCCACGAGTCCCTCCCTCCCCCCATCCCTCTTGTGTACTTGCTCAAAGGTGCACTTGTGTGTGCGTGCGCGCGTGCGCACGCACACACACCCCCTTACCTACCTCTCAGGGCTTCTTGGAGGAGGTGGGATAGACTCCTGGCTAAGAACCCCTGGAAGTAACAAAGGAATGCCCTGCCTAGAGGGGGTGCAGTGTGAATGCTATGGATCAGGCTGTACAGGTGAGGGCAGGGCTCTTGCCATAGCTTATGTAATAGGCCCCTCAGGCAGGCAGACTCATGAAGCCAATGGTCCCCTTCTCAGAATAAAATACTGAGGATGGATGAATGAGGAAACCAATTATATTGAAATCCAGTTATCAAAATATTTGAAAAACCAAGTGTGTGGACTTCAGTTCCTGGCTTAGGGGGTTGGCAGGGTCTTGCTTGTCTGTGCCGCTGCACCTTTACCTCTGGCTCCACCCCTGACTTTCCAGCCCTAGGGGATCTGGCCTTGCCATCTCTGGTGGGTGGCTAAATGGATGTAAATAATTAGTGCTTGTGCATCGAGGAGGAAGCAGGAAATGCTGAGGTTTAGATACATTCCCATCCTAGAGGCCAAGGTAAATTGAGGCTTCCCCAAGCCAGGGAGGGAGTGGCAGGATGCCCCAGATGGACAGAGAGAGTTGGACAACTGACCTGCCTGTGGTCGATAGTGGGTCCCCTCTGCCCAGAGTGGACTGATGCCCTGGGGACGTGGCCACTTCTGCCCCCTCCAGGTGCACTAGGAGAGATGGGAGAGTGCCAGGATAGGGCTGAGAGACCAGGGTGGACAAGGTCCTCTCCACCGCCTTCCAATTATTCCCTCAAATATCTACATCTTCCTGCCACAGATGCTGACCTGACCTTTGATCAGACTGCCTGGGGAGATAGTGGCGTCTACTACTGCTCTGTGGTTTCTGCCCAGGACCTCCTAGGCAACAACGAGGCTTACGCTGAGCTCATTGTCCTTGGTAAGGGGGGCAAGGGTGGAGGGATTAGGGCCCCCACACCCCGAATCCTTTTGGGGTGGGGGCGGAGCATGGGGGGGGTTGGGAGTCCCTTCCCTCATCTCCTGTCTGTCTGTCTGCCTGCTTCCTGGGTCTGACTCATGCTTCAGCTCCTCCTACCCTTGCCAGCCTAGTCACCCTTAGATTTATACACAACTGAGCACCATCTGCAGCAGGAGAGATGTTCCCCCCCCCATGTCACTGAGACTAAACGAGGAAGAAAATTGGGCATCCCCGCACAGCACAGATGATTCGATTTCATATCGCAGCAGCGTGCATTCCAAAGCCAGACAGATTGTTTTGAGAGGGGGAGGAGGAAGAGGTGTGATTCTCTGGTGCTTGTGGATTGCCTGCCTGCCCTCCATCAGTGTGGATAAACAAGGAGAGCTGAATAGATCCCCCTTCTCCTGCTTCAGGCCACATGTGAGCTTCTGTCTGCCTGCTTTCTTCCCTTTGCGCCTAGTTCTGCCTTCGGCCATCCATATTCATGCTGCAGAACTCCCCAGTCCAACCCATCACCAAGCAGGGCTGACTCAGTTCCTGAGCCTCAGCTTGCCCCTCTGCAGCAATGGGAGCAGGCTTCGTGCCCTCTGCAAGGTGGGGAGGGCCACAGAGGGAAAGAGTGAGCTGTGGGATCTTGAACCCTGAAGAAGCGGAGGCAGTTTCAGGCAGGGACAGCTGGCAGCCTGGCCACTCAGTCTCCGTCTCCCCCCAAGGACACTGGGCGTGTTACTGTTACTGCATGTTACCTAGCTCCACGCTACGGTAATGCCAAATATATATTGACATGCTGGTCCATATATATTGATGGGCTAAAGCACATATCTTACAGTATATGTGATCGAGCATGTCATAAAGCACCGCCATTTTAGCACAGGAACAGTGAGTACTTATAGCGCTTTGGAAGAACTCTGCCCAGGGCCAGGGTGGGGCATGCCCCGCTCTGAGCCCCTGGGCAGCCTTCGGTCACTTGTCATGGTGACAAGCTCAGCACGTGGCATAGAGGTGGCATGCTTAGGGCCCTGTCTGACCAGCCAGCCAGGAGCCAGGGCCATGGTGGGCTGGGAGTGGGGAGGAGAAGGGCTTGCCATCTCATCTCCTGCCCAGCCTGGCCAGCTTCCTGCTGGAATAATCATGTTTCTCTTTTGTCCCTCCAGGCAAGACCTCAGGGGTGGCTGAACTCTTACCAGACTTTCAGATAGGGTCCATGGAAGGTACGGGGTGGAGGCCAGGGGGTCCTCATTGCCTGACTTTTCCTTAGAGCTCCCAGCCTTGAAGAGCACACCCCTTCCCCACTGCCTCTCATCTCTCGCCTTCTTATACTTAAACGCTCTTACTGTCCTGCCTCCTCCCCCTCACCCCTTAGAAACAGAAACTAACTGCTCTCCTGGGCTCCAGGTAGTATAGTAACTAGTGGCTGTCGTGTGGGTGTTGGGCCCCTGGAACGCCATGTGTATCTCCCTCCCCCTCAGCCTTCTGGGCGGCCAGCCGGGCTTTCCTCTCTGGACCCCTTCTTCAGCCCTGGTCCCTGAGAACTCAGGGGATGCAGGTTTGCTCAAAAGCAGCCTCAGCCTGAGCCAGTTAGGATAGCAAAACCATCTGACTAAGTCCAGCAGAGTCCAGTGCAGGGTGTGGGTGGAAGAACACGGCCAGGTATGGGGAGGACCTGAATTCCAATCCCATCCAGTGCTACTACTCACTCACTATGTGTGACCTTGGGCAGGTCCTTAACCCCTCTGAGCCTGTTGTTTCAGAAAGGATAGAGAGTTGCTTTGGAGTCAGGAAGACCTGGGTTCGAATCCTGCCTCAGAAACTTACTAGCTGTGTGACCCTGGGCAAGTCACTTAATCTCTACTGCCTTACTTACCTCAACTGGAAGATGGGAGTAGTAATAGCACGTACCTCACAGGGTTCTTGTGAGGATCAGATAATATTTGTCAGAGCACCTCAGAAGCATGAGTGTGTTGTCAGTGCTGGCTAGCTATTATCATTATCTGGAAAAAGGGGTTAGAACCCCTACTCTGCTGATATCACAGGACAGTGTTGAGGCTTACGTTCAGTTGAATTTAGCTAACCATTAAGCATCAACTATGGGCCAAAGGCACAAAATCGGTACGGGTCCTCCTGATTTTTGGTCTGCCAGAGGTCTTCAAAGGAAAGCTTAGTGAATTCCTTTCACATATTTTACTAATGCTCTTTAAAAAATCCAAAACATAATTCTGTCTTCCTAGTGATTCCCACACCCACCCCTCACCCCCTTGTAACAAGGAAATGCACTTGAGCAAACCGAATCGATACAATGGCTGGATCTGATGAAAGCATGCCCCGCTCTGCATCTGTGGCCCACCACTCTTTGGGGGGCTTGTTGTTTACAGCGTCATTATGATGACCATTGTCTAAGTGGTCCTTGGAATTGTCAATTCCACTATTTGTTTTTTAAAAAGAAAGTTCTTGTGTCTTTGTTTTTTTACATCACTATAGTTTCCCACATTATCCCTTCCTCTCCTTACGACCAAAAAACCCCCAAAACATCAGCGAAACTGATCAGTACTTTGGAAATTGCATGATTCAGTGAATGGTTATGAAAGCTCTGAGAAGGCTAGAAGGGGATGAAGAAACCTTGTAATGAAGCTGGTAGTGATGGTTTGTGGTGATTGCCATGCAGTGTGACCAGTCTGCCTGCTGCTCCTATGGGCTGGTCACTGTGGCTCCCTGCCCCTCTCCCGGCTTTGCACTGCTCTGTGTGACTCTGGCCTTGCCTGACCCCTAGGACCTCAGCTCTGGGCCCCATCCTCTTTTTCTTTTTTTGCTTTTTTTTTTTTCCGGGGTTAAGTGATTGCCCAGGGTCACACAACTATTAACTGTCAGGTGTCTGAGGCTGGATTTGAACTCAGGTCTTCCTGACTGCAAGGCCCATCCTCTTTTCCTTACAGATTGGCTCTTTGTGGTCATCGTTGTCCTAGCTGCCCTGTTAGTCTTCCTCCTCTTGGGCATCTGCTGGTGCCAGTGCTGCCCCCATACGTGCTGCTGCTACGTACGCTGTCCTTGCTGCCCGGACAAATGCTGCTGTCCCGAGGCCTGTAAGTACTGGTTGGGGGGCCTTCATTGCCCCCACTGGGTGGGACCAGGCAGCAGCAAGGGGGAAATGGAGTATTGGAAACAGTGTGAGGACAGGTATGTGTGTAATAGATGTGATTTCTCTGTGTCTTGTAGAGAGAGGAGGTGCAGGCTTGTTGGGCTGAGGATAGTTTCTGGGAGGAGGTAGTAGTATTTTTTGGTGGCCTATTAGATTATAAAGTGGTTGGAGTTTGGGGGCTCATTTCAAGGATAAACTCCCAAACCATTTTTTCAGTCATTTCACTTGTGTCTGACTCTCTCCAAGACCCCATTTGGGGTTTTCTTGGCAGAGATACTGGAGTGCTTTGCCATTTCCTTCTCCAGCTCATTTTACAGAAGAGGTAACTGAGGCAAAGAGAGTGAAGTGACTTGCTCAGGGTCACTCAGCTAGCAAGTGTCTGAGGCTGGATTTGAACCAAGGGAGATGAGTCTTTCTGACTCCAGAACTGGCACTCTCTCCATTGTGGTGCCACCTAGCTGCCAGAAGAGGAATGGTTTTTTTTCAATAGGTAGGGAATTTCTGTGGTGTCCTGGTCAGTCAGGCACGTTGGAGAGAACTAGATTCTTGATTCCGTGATCTCGGTTTTGTTTGCTTTTATACATCAAGCAATTGTGAGTAATTTAAATAGTAGCTTAGATCATAGGTGTCAAACATGCCGCCCTGACCAACTAGGGGATCCAGTGGGTAGAGTGCCAGGCTTATGAGTCAGGAGGACCAGGGTTCAAATTAGGCCTTGGACACTTACTGTGTGACCCTGGGCAAGTCACTTCACCCTGTGTGCCTCAGTTTCCTCATCTGCAAACCACTCCAGTATCTCTGTCAAGAAAATCCCAGGGGTCATGGAAAGTCAGACATGACTGAAGCAACTCTACAACAACAGACTAGATTAAAATGTAATTGGGAAATCTCTAACAAAATTACTAAAAATCCAATAAAACGGAAATGACGTTACATTTTAAAATGGGTCAATTTTTGGCCTGCAGGGCTGGGTTAGGTACGGCTCAGTGGTTCCATTTCTGTTGTTTGCTTGGGAGCTGGAGGACTGTTATTCATTGATAATCCATTTCTTATTTGATACCAGTCCATCAGTAAGCATTTAGTAAGCACCTACTGTCTATTGGGTGCTAGGGAAACGAAAACAAAAAGCAGAACAGTTCCTGTCTTCAAGAAGCTTTCTTTCTACCCATGAAAACAATCCATACATGTAATATACATAAAGCACATAAGGTAACTTATTTGTATAGAGTGTTCACTCTTCACCCACCCCCAGATCCTGCTGTTTCCAGGTGCCATTCATGGGTGTCTTCTCCCCAGTTACCCCGCAAATCGCCTTGTGTCTGTTTTGTGTGTATGCATTCATGTGTGCACGCATCGTCTGCCCCAGCTAGTCAACCAGTCAGCTCGAGGGCAGAGACTTTTATTTTTGTCATGCTATCTCCAGCCCTGGGCACATGGTAGGTCTTCAATGCTCGTTGCTTAATTGGGGAGGGGGGATCAGCAAAGACTCTTAGAGGTGATTCCTGAGCTGAGCTTTGCAAGAAACCATTCTTCTTTTTATTGGCGCCATTTTTCATCCATTCCTAGCACAGGTGGTGGAAAGGATCTCAGATTATTTAGTCCAGCTGTCTGACTTTACAGAGAAGGGAAGTTGTTTGTCCAGGGCCACCCACTGAGTCAAGACCTGTAGAGGCTGTTCACAAGAGCCACATTGGTTTTCTACCATTACTGCCCATGGAATTCTTAAAAGGTTTCTGTTGAAAAACTGACCTTCAGCAGTGGCAGTGAGGACCTGGGTAGAGGGTGTTAGCCTCATTTCACACATTTGGAGAACTAAGGCATGGACCCCTGAAAGGTCACACAGTCATTAGAAGAATCAGAACCAGGCCAACTAATTCCCAACCCCAACCAAACCCACTGAGTCAGCAAGAAGCAGCTGTTGCCACTACTAATTAGTAAACTGCTAATTGTAGCCTTTCCCCTAACCCCTCGTTAGCATCTTCCTTCTCCCTTACAGATGACTGCCAGCATCCCAGGCTAGGCTTTCTTTTTCCAGGGAACACTATGGATCAGAAAGCATGAATGGAAATTGATGGGTTATCATACATAATTGAGAACCAAATTAAATATGGACCCATCCCCAAGTCCATTTGGCTTGAAGATCTGCTTCCTTCCCACCTCAGGCAGCCATGTATCAGTCCTAGGCAAGCAAATAGAGGCACTGATTTCATTGCATGGGAAGGACTGGGCTGGGCTGGTCCCCCCCCTCCCCAGTCATAAAATATTCCTCTCCTCAAAGTTCACTGTGCAGGTATGACAGCAGTCTCTACATTGGTTTGTTAGGGAATAGGAATATAAGTGTGTAATTGCTGCAGGTGAAACTCCAGTCACCTTGGGGGGTGGGTCCTCTAGCCTTAATTTCATTATTTAGTCCTAAGAGTATCCAATCACATTCTTCCTTCAGTCCCCTCTTTGTGGTACCTGCCCTTGATGATAGTATATTAAAGCATTAGGGGCTGGTAAGGAAGGGGGGGGGCGGGGCTGGAGGAGGCAAGCATGTGACAAGGGCATTGATATATTCCTCCGTGCTAATTCAATTCAACATTTAATAAGCACTTATCATATTCAAGGCCCTATGCTATAATAAAAAACTGTCCCCTGCCATCAAGAAGCTTACATTCTGCTGTGTATGACCCTTCTTCCAGTGTATGCTGCTGGTAAAGCTGCGACCTCCGGAGTCCCAAGCATTTATGCACCCAGTGTCTACGCACCCAGCACCTATGCTCACCTCTCTCCAGCCAAGGCTCCTTCCCCTCTACCCATGATCCAGATGGCTCCTGTCCACAATGGCTTCGCAGGGGATTTTGACCGACAGAGCTCAGGTGAAGACTGGGGAAAGCAGATGCCTTTATGTGTTAGAAGGGTTTGGGGCATCAGTTGGGTCCTTGGGGACAGGGCTTTGATGAGGGGGACAGAATAAGCTGAAGATCTAGGTCTCCGGGAAGGCTATGAGGACCAAGATGCCCGGGTCTCAAGGTGATGGGGTGGAAGAAGGGTAGCTAGGAAGATTGGGCAGAGGGCAGCTGGATCCTGACCATGTCTCTCCTGCAGTTGGTGGCCACAGCTCCCAGGTGCCCCTTCTTCATGACACAGACAGTACTAGAAACTCAGGTGAGAGTCAAACGTTCGTAACTGGATGCTGGCCCCAGAAATGGGTTTTGGTCGGGGGTAGGGATGATATCGGGGTGTGAGATCCAAGGGAAAGAGCCTTTTGCTTACCCCCACAAATTCCTCCCCTGTTCCTCAGAAGTACGAAGTGGTTATCGCATCCAGGCAAACCAGCAGGATGACTCTATGAAAGTGTTGTACTACATGGAGAAGGAGCTCGCTAACTTTGACCCTTCCCGGCCTGGCCTGCCTAATGGCCGGGTGGAGAGGGGTGAGTTGTTTGGGAGTGGTGGTAGGGCGTTGGGATCCTTAGGCCTAGGGAGGGGGGGCTTGGGTCCCCTCCATCCCTCGCCCAGATGCCCTTCAGCACACACTGCTTATGCTGTCTGACCCCTCCCCCTCTAAACCCCCTATCTATCCCTGCTCTCCCAGCCATGAGTGAAGTGACTTCCCTTCATGAAGATGACCGGGGCTTCCGGCCCCACCGAGGCCCTGCCCTCACCCCCATCCGAGATGAAGATCTGGACTATCGCTCCCAAAGAAGCCCAAGAGGATGGGAGTCTGAGCGAGAACGTTCCCGGGATCAGAATGGAGGCTGGGGACCCAGGCGGCCACGGGCCCACTCGATGGATGCCCTGGATGACTTGGGCAGACCCAGCTCCGTGGAATCGGGAAGGACATCCCCTTCAGAAAGGAGCCGGGCGCGGGCTTATGCACCTCCCCGAAGCCGCAGCAGAGATGATCTCTACTCCCGGCCTGGAGACCCCTACTATGATGATCACAGGTCCCGGGGCAGACCCCTGGATGATGCCCGTCGGGACCCACGTGGGAGCCACAGCCGGTCCAGAGACCCCGAGTATGATGGGCGGTTCTTGGAAGATGTGCTGAGAAAAAAGGAGGTGGGGGAGAGGAGAAGACCCCACAGGGAAGAAGAACCTTATTACCCCCCGGCCCCACCTCCCTACACTGAAACGGAGTCAGTGTCTTCCCGAGAGAGGAAGCTCAGGAAGGTGAGTCTACCGGGAGAGAAAGGGGGTGCCCCGGGGGAGGGAGCCAGATGAGGTGGGAGCTCTCACCTGCTTTCCTTGTTTCCCGCAGAACCTAGACCTGAGCCGGGAAAGCCTGGTGGTCTGACCCGACGAGGTTCTCCTCGACTTTTGTATGTTTTTTTAAATGTGTGTCTGGGGGGGAGGGGGAGGAGAGTCTCTTCTGATTATGCTGAATAAAGTTTTTAATCACTTGGCTCGGGACTCGCTGTCTTGTTTTGGGGTTCGAGGGAGCGAGGAGGAGAAGGCAGTGAAGGTCACAAGGGGGTTGAACTAGCTGCTTGGGGTTCCAGCTCCCGGTCCCTGGCTGCGATCCCGACCCGCCCGGGCCTCTGGGAAAGGCCCGTTCCGGCTTCGCCCCAGCCCCGCCCGCTGCGTGCGCGCCGCGGCCCCGCCCAGACGTGCGCATGCGCTTCCTGCCTTCCCCACAACACTCCCCCCACCTCCAGGAACCCGCGCGCGCGCCCCCACTCTCCGGACCGACCCCTTTCAAGCCCACTACCCACGCCCCAAGCCCCTCCGTCCCCTCGGCCCCTCCCCGCCGACGGACAGTGTGCCTCGGCCCGCTGCCCCCGCCACGTTCCGCCGCGGCCCTCCGCAGCGTTCCATCCGGGCCCGCGTTCCATCTGTGGAACGTAGTGTATCCCCTTCAGTCCCTGGTGCCTCGGCCTCCCCGTCTCCCGCCGCGCCAAGGCCCAAGCCCCCAGCGACTCGGGGCGGAAGCGCGCAGCGGCGAGAAGCGGGGGCCCGCGCCAAGGCCCAGGCCGGCGCGCGCCCGGGAGTCGGAGCCCGGCAGAGCGCGCGCGCGCGCTCCCCAGGGCGGCCTGCCCCCCCTCCAGCCCCCGCCCGCGTCGGCTCCGGGCTCGCGCCGCCGCCGCCGCTGCGCGCGCGCAGCTCTTGCAAAGAAGGGGAAAAAGGGGGAAAAATAGAAAGCGGCGGTAGCAGCGAGCGATCGGCTGCCGTGCGGGGCCGGGGCAGCGGAGCAGCCGGGCGGGAGGAGCGGGCTGTGAAAAGCGAGGGCGGCGGGCGGGCGGGCGCGGGAGGGAGGCCCAGGCCCAGGCCGCCGCTTCCCCGGGCCTGAGCCGGGGCCGGGCCGGGGCAGCCGTCGCCCAGGCCGGGCCGAGGCCGGGCGTGGAGCGGGGCGCGGGGCGCGGAGCAGCCGCCGCGACCGCAGCCCCGGCAGCCCTAGCAGCCGCAGCCCCAGCAGCAGCCTCGGCGGCGGCGGCGGCGGCATCTCCTCCTCACATGACCCCACTGTTTGTCCCCGTGATCAGCGCGAGCGGCTCCCGTGTCTCCTCCGTCCCCTCCTGCCGCGCGGCGTGAGCTGCGGGCTCGGGCCCCCCCGGCCCCCGCCCCTCCCCCTCCCCTCCCCCTCCCCTCCCCTCCCCCGGGCCCCGCGCCCCCCCCGCCCCCACCCCCTCCATGGACATGCTGGACCCGGGTCTGGACCCCGCTGCCTCGGCCACCGCTGCTGCCGCCGCCGCCGCCGCCGCCGCCGCCGCCGCCAGGTAAGGGCCCCAGGCCGGACCCCGGGTGGGCCAGGCTCCGGAGCGAGCTCACGCCGGCCGGCCGGGCGGTGCACAAGATGGAGGCCGAGGGCGGGCGGGGGGTGCAGGGGAGACCCCTCCGAGCCCGGCGGGGAGGGAGGTGCAGAGAAGACCCCCCCCGCCCCTCCCCCCGCAGGGCTTGGGCTGGGGGGGCGGGGTCCCCGCGAGGCGCGCGCCGCCCCGGCCTCCCCCCCCCCCCCTGACCGCTGCCTCCGCGCCCCCGCAGCCACGAGAAGGGACCCGAAGCGGAGGAGGGCGTCGAGCTCCAGGACAGTGAGTGGGGGCTGCCGGGGGGCGCTGGGCGCAGGGAGGGGGGCGCCCGGGGCGCTGAGCCGGCCTCCCTTTGCCCCCAGCCGGGGAAGGGCCCGGGGCCGAGGAGCAGACCGCGGTGGCCATCGCCAGCGTCCAGCAGGCGGCGTTCGGGGAGCACAACATCCAGTACCAGTTCCGCACAGAGAATAATGGAGGACAGGTGAGGGAGGGGTGGGCCGCGCGGCAGGGGGTCTCGTTGGGGGTGGGGGGCCGGTCCACCCGGACCTCACCTCTCGGCCCGGGCCGACTCGGTGCCCTCTGCTGCCCCCTGCAGGTAACATACAGAGTGGTCCAGGTGACGGACGGCCAGCTAGATGGCCAGGGAGACACCACGGGCGCTGTGAGCGTGGTGTCCACGGCCGCCTTCACCGGGGGGCAGCAGGCTGTGGCTCAGGTCAGCTGCAAGGGGGAGCAGGGCTGCCGGGCGGGGTTGGGGGGGGTCCGGGGAGGGGCTGGAAGGCCGGGCCGGAGCCTTCTAGACTTGTCCCAGATCCCCCCCGGGATTCTGGAATAGGTCTGGATTGGAACCCGGGTTCTCTGACCCTCCGCCCTCTCCCTGCCCACCCTGCCATCGAGGTGGGGGGGGCCAGAGGAGGAGGGGAGATGACCCCTGCCCTGTAGAGCCCCACAGCTGAGGACTGGGAGGCAGGGTACGCTTAGGACACTAGTCACACTTTGAGAGGGAGAAACAAAGACAGCTGAATGCAGAGCTGGGAGGGGAGGATGGGGAGGGAGTAGTCTGGTTGATACCTCCGTGGGGGCAGGGGAAGTGGCCAGAGAAGAGATGACCAGTGGGGCAGGGTGAGCGTCTGTCCATCCTCACTCTCGCTCTTTAGGCAGTGATCCAGAACCCTTTCAGCAATGGGGGCAGCCCTGCGGCAGAGGCGGTCAGTGGGGAGGCCCGCTTTGCCTACTTTCCAGCATCCAGTGTGGGGGATGCCACGGCTGTGTCCGTGCAGACCACGGACCAGAGCCTTCAGGCAGGAGGTATGGAGGCTGGGCCCAGAAGGCCCACAGGATTCTGGGCATGGGGGAAAGAACATTGGGAAAAGAGACTGGGGGGAGTGATTGCAGGGCGATGGAAGGAAAGCTCTGTAAGGATTTCTGGTGGGGGAGGGGGGAAGGGAAGGAAACAATCTTTTATAGGGAGGTAGGTACTGTTATTCTTCCTGTTTTACAGTTGGGGAAACCCAAGACAGGCAGAGATGAAATCCAGAGGTGGGGTCACAGAGCTGGGAAGTGTCTGAGGCTAGATTTGAGCTCAAGGTCTCCTGATTTCACATTCAGAGTTTTGCCCACTGTACCACCTAGCTACCTTACAACTGTATCACAAGAAGAGACTGTAATTCAACCTCCTCATGTTCCAAATGAGGAAACTGAGGCCCAGACAGGTGTGTCACCAGAGCTGACCAGCTCCTAGGGGTAACCTTTAACCCCGACCCCAATCTTGCCTCTCCTAGGCCAGTTCTACGTGATGATGACGCCTCAGGATGTGCTACAGACGGGAACGCAGAGGACGATTGCTCCTCGGACCCACCCGTATTCTCCGTAGGTGCAGGCTGCTTGGGTGCCCAGGGAAGTCAAGGCTGGCAAGGCCAGATTCCTTGAATCCAGGAATGAGGGCGGGGGGGGGGGGGCTAATGCCTGTGTGCAGAGGGACAGGTGTGTGTTTCCTCTCTTCTAGGAAGATGGATGGGACGAGAACCCCCAGAGATGAGAGGAGGAGAGCCCAGCACAATGAAGGTGAGGGCAAAGGGTCCCTGTCTGTCTGTCAGGTTGTAGACTGCGGTCTCTCCTCCTCACTGCCCCTCAGCAGAGCTCATCTGAGGTGCTGGAGTAAGGGGGAGTGGTCACCTGGTGTGGTGGGGGGACAAAGCTGGGGAATCTGGGGGGGGAGGGGGCTGAGGCCGGCATGGGAGGGAGAGCCCAGGGAGCCATACGGCTAGCACAGCCAGGCCTCCAGCCAGCCAGCCAGGCAAACCTTTCTGAAGCACTGATTCTCCTGTTCCAGCTCAGAAAGTGCCAGGACCCCCCTGTGGTTCCCCCTGTCCTGGCAGCCAGGTCCTGCAGAGCTGAGCCTGCCAGGCTTTCACCCCAGGACCCCCTGTAGCAGCCGTCTGCTGCAGGCATGCCTCCCCCAACCCCAGGAAAGGATCTTAGAAATCCTTAGTCCAAGCGAGGAGGACCCCAGTGCTGACCTCTGCCCTGAGCCCTCTTCTCTCCACCCTTCAAGGCCAGCTGAAGGCCCCCCACCCCTTCCTGAAGTCTTTCCTGGTGATCTCATTACCCCCATCCTGACCTTTCCCTTTGTGCTTGGAAGCTCCTTGTATGAGGCTCCCCAGCCTCAATAGGTGTTTGCTGACCACTCAGTGGAGGTCATTGTTGCCTGGTGGGGTAGGGGTGAGGAGGGGGGTGGATTGTCTTCTCTGTATTTCATCCCCATCCCTACCAAGTGCTCATGGAGCCCTTCCGGGTGGGAATTCCTTCCTCTGCAGTGGAGAGGAGGCGGAGGGACAAGATTAACAACTGGATTGTTCAGCTCTCCAAAATCATTCCAGACTGTAACACAGACAACAGCAAGACGGGAGCGGTGAGTGCTGTCCCTGCCCTGTCCCTGTTCTCCTCCCTCTCCTCCCTCGGGCTCATCCTAGTAGAGTGCATGGATGGGGCGCTACATTCCCTCAGGCCTTCGGGGTAGACAGTCTCTGCCTCAGGAGGGCAGGACAGGAGGTTTACCCAGGACCCCAGGGGCTGCGGGGCACAATGAAGCCCCCGGGGGAGTGGCCCCTGGGAGGGGAGGATGAGGGTCGCTGCCAGGCTTGCTTGGTCCTGGGGGCTTCCCGCTACCTCCTTCGGGCCACATTGCTGTCTCTGCCTTCATGCCCTTCAGAGCAAGGGAGGGATCCTGTCCAAAGCCTGTGACTATATCCGGGAGCTCCGTCAGACCAACCAGAGGATGCAGGAAACTTTCAAGGAAGCCGAGAGGCTGCAGATGGACAATGAGCTCCTGAGGCAGCAGGTGAGCCATGCAGGGGCCCGAAGATCCAGGATGGGCAGAAGCCTTGGGTGGGGTGGTGGAAGCACTGAGGGGCTTCCCCCTCCTCGTGGGGGTGGAGAAAGTGGGAAGCTGGGGTCTTGGGCACCAGCCACCTGCCTTAGCCTCTCCCCTCTGTCCCTGGCCAGATAGAGGAGCTGAAGAATGAGAACGCGTTGCTCCGAGCCCAGCTGCAGCAACATGGCCTGGAGATCGTCGGGGAGACGTCCCGGCAGTGATGCCCCTCCCTGCCCCTTTCCCCTGGGTTTTTGGGGGAAGGTTCTGGCCCCCAACCCTTAGCACAGAGAGGGAGACAGTCTGCCCCCTCCCCCAGCTGCATTTTTTATAGTAGATTTTTAACAAAAATGGGGAGAAAAAAGCATTTCCACGAATACAGCACCCCCACCCCCACGACAAAAACAAGGCCACCGACATGTCCGCCTTCTCCCATCTTTGTCTGTTTTCTCTGACTCATTCTCTTTTCCTCTCCTCTCCCCTGATTCCTCCACTTTGATTCAGTCATGCCACCTAATGGCTCCCGCCGGGCTTCCCTTTCCTGCCTTCGCCTTGGTGGAAGGGGGCAGGACACAAGGAGAGAGATCCCTTATTCGTCCCCTGGACCCCGTTCTGCTTCCCCATCTCTGTCTTTCCCTGGAGGTCCAGAGACAGAACTGCTAAGAGGGGGGATGCCTTTGGTGGGGCCACCCCGTGGCTAGGGGCTCTTTGGACTCGTGTTCCGGCCTTCCCACCTCCCCAGCTCACTTCCCGACACCCTTACCCCTTCTTTGGGTGTGTGTGTGTGTTTTAATTTCTTTATGAAAAAAAAAAGACCAAAAAAAAAAAGAAGAGAAAGGTATTTAAACTGCAATAAACTGGCCTGTGCGGCCCCGCCTCAGCTGTTGGTGTCCCTTCCTGGATCCGTCCTTGAGTGGAATAGCCACCCTATTTATGGGAAAGGGGAAGCAAGGGGGTATGATGGGGTGAAGGACAGGGCTTGGTGTTAGGGAGAGAAGGGTCAGGCTGGTGCCAGGGCTGTGGTTCAGCCCCCACCCTCACCCGAGGCAATAACTCTGGCCTTGAGCCCCCCTCCTTACAGAAAGGGGAGGAGAGGGATGATTCCCAGCTTGGCCCGTCTTTCTGTCGCCTAGGGCCCCAGCTCTGGCGCCTCCACGGTGACCCCTGCCCTCAGCCCTGCTGATGATGAAATCTGCCCTGAGGTGGTGGGACAGGCCAGACTGGGAGGGGAAGGGGTGGTCTCTGGTAGCATCCGTTACTTGGTGTTCCATCCTCATCCGTGAACTTGCCTCCCACCCTTGTACCCCGAGATCCATGTGCCTTATCCTCTATGCCGTCAGCTGCCCTGGAGTGTCTCGTGACCCCTGGGCTGTGTGGCCTCCCTCCCGGACCTGTGTCACTAGGGTCATTGCCCCAGCCCTGGATGGGTGGGGAGGAATCTGGCGCCTTCGAGTCTACCTGGCGTGGGGGGAGTTGGGGCCAACCTGAGCAAACAGGCCGGGTCGGGGAGCTGGCACCGAGCAGAGTGGCCTGCGTTTTCTTGGGGGGCGTCTGGGGAAAGACCTTCTGCTCTCCCCTGCTGGTTGCCGTATGGGAGTCTGGATTTGGGTTTGAAACAGTCCTAACAACTAGCCCTCGTTTTCACTTGAGGAAATTGGCTCGGAAGTGAATTGACTGAGGTCTGAGATGGGAGAGTGTGGATTGGGGAGGGATGAGGGCACAGAAAACTTCCTTCACTAACACCCTTCCTCAGTAATACTTCACATTGATCCAGTACTTTAAGGCTCACAAACATTTTTTCAAGTGCCTCTGGGAAGTGGGTGATGCAGATGTCTGTTTACAGAAGAGACTGAGGGGTCAGAGAGGTTTAGAGTGTCGTATATGAAGTTGAGCTAAGAAGTGTTTCTTAAGCGCCCATTTACGCCTGGCATGTAAGCATGTCATGTCCACCAGGATTTTTCTTTCCGGCCCCCTGCCTGCTGGGCTCAAACCCAACACCAGAAAGAGAACTTATCATTCCCCCTCCTCCCCGAACCATCCCTGTTCCCTATTTTCGGTCACTCCAGCTAAGACCACTCTGTACTCCATGCCTTATATCCACTCGGTTGCCAGAAACCCATTAGATTGGAAGCTCCTTAAAGGCAGAGACTGTCTTTTGCCTCTTTTTGTATCCCCAGCACTTAGCATGATGCCTGGCACACAGTAGGAGTTTAATAAATGTTTTCTGACTGACTGAGCATGATAGATTTGTATTCAGATGCCCACGGTTTGAATCCCAGCTTTGCCACTTGTTTTCTCTTGACCTTGGCTTCTTTGTCCATAAGAAAAGCAGAGTGGACCAGGGTCTCTTCCCCCTCACACAGTTACCCTTGGCATTTAGGGTCTCCTCACCTCTTGCTGGGTCTAGTACAAACGCTTCCTAATCATTATCCCTGCCTCCAGTCTGCTCTCCAAACCGTCCTCCACCAGGCTGCCAAGTGGATATTCTTAAGGCACAGGTCCCTTCCCTGTGCTACCAGCTCTGGTGAATGTCTGTCTACGCGTTCTGCTGTCTAATTAAACTGCACTACTGTCTGTTCCCCATACAGGCCATCGCAATGTAGTCTCCCACCTCCCTGCCTTAGCACAGACTGTCTCCAATGCTTGGCATGGTCTTCTTCTTCACCTGTTGGACTCCCTGGTTCCCTTCAAGGTTCAACCCAAGGCCCTCCTTCTGCAGGACACCTTCCCTGACCTTTGAAATTCAGGGCTCCTTCGCCCTGAAATCATTTTGGGTTTCTTATTCAGTGTGTGTGTGTGTGTGTGTGTGTGTGTGTGTGTAGAACATGTTTCCCCCCAGTAGAACAGAAACTCTTTGAAGGTAGCAGCTGTTTTGTTTTTTGGCCTTTCTAGAAACTAAGTTAGTGCCTGGCATATAGTAAATGCTGAATAGTTGAATTAAGTGATTTATCTAGCTAGTCAATGTGAGAGCCACCAGGATTCAAACCCAGGCCTTCAAAGTCCAAATTCATCAGTCTTTGTATTTACACTATTTACACTCATTGGCTGACTAAAACTGACCCCGGGGACTCCAGAGGGAGAACTAGTGTGAGGAAGGGTAAGGACAAGGGGGTCATCTTCTGGACACTTCGTTAGGAAAGGCTCTGTGGAGGACAGGGATGGAATGGAGAGGGAAGGGATGAGCCCCTTAGCCAAGGGATTTCTCTGGCTTAGCTCCTGGGGGGAAGCTGTTTTCCCAAAAACTGGTCATAAGCTCAATTAAAGACCCTTAGATTAGTTAAAGGAACTTCATCTAGTCCAAAGCCCTTTTGCAGATGAGAACATTGAGGACCCAGATGGGAAGTGACTTGTTTAAGATCACAGTGTCAGAGGTAGGGTTGGAAACCAGGACCACTGACTCCCAGTCTAGGGTGCTTCCCCCTGTGCTGATGTGAGCCTATGAGTCTATCTTTCTAGGGCCCTTGTGTCATGTGTGTGACCCTGGCTGCCCCACCCCCAATACACACCTCCTCTGGGCTGTGGGTGACTCAATCATTTGTTTCCCAGGGCTGTTTTCCCGCTTATCTCTCCCCCACCCTTTGATGACACCACCTTCTTGGAAAGTAAGTTGGGCCAAAGGGGAGGGGGCTTGGGCCTCGAGCCTCATAAAAGTGCCGGGCTCAGGACCCGGACAGAACCCTGAGCTAAGCAGACATACAGAAATGGCACTGACCACTCAAATCCAGACCACCTGCCTCTTCTTCCTCCTCCTCTCCAACTTCGTCTGTCCTTCTGTTATCCCAAGCAAGGTAAGAGCTCACAGGTGCCTGGCTCCGGGAGGGGAGTGGGACTTTCAGGGCCAGATACCTAGGCTGAATGGGTGGCTGGGGGGTCTCCCAAGGCCAGATATCTGAGTGTTGGGAGGTAAATAGGGGGGGGCGTATTCTGTACACAGGACAGATTCTAGGAGAGAAGAGAGGGTGTGTGTGTGTGTGTGTGTGTGTGTGTGTGTGTGTGTGTGTGTACTTTGATGGGGGCTCCGGGCTGGGATCTCCTTCCTCAAGATCTGGGGGCTCTTCACAGACACAGGACCTCGAGCAGACCCCACTCCAGGCGGCAGCTCCTGCTCACAATGACTTGATGGTGAGTGATTTCCCCAAGAATGGCAGCCCACTTCCCCTACACCAGCCCCACTCTTCTGCTCCTCAGCCTCATCAATCCACTGACCTCCTCTTTTTCCCCTGGCAGCCCCCTGCTTCAGAGGACAAAGAGATTCGACAGCCACTTTCCCATCTGCTCATACTGCTGTAATTGCTGTCGCAACACAAAATGTGGTTTTTGTTGCCGGGTGTGACCTGAGCCCTCCATCGTCTCATCTCCCTCTTCCCAAGTTCCCTTCCCCACTTCATTTTCTAATTTATTCCCTCCCCCTCTGTCCCTTCCTGTTGTGACTGTCTCAAAATAAAATGGTATGTTTTCCCCGAAAAACTCCAGCATTTTTTCCTTTCTTGAAAACGCCACCTCCTTAATTTTGTCTCACCTTCCAAGCGCCCATCAGAGTCCTGGAGCTTCCTTCCCTGCCCACCTGTCAGCTCTCTGAAGAGAAAACCGCACAGGCGGGAGGAGGAGAGGGTGTACTCCATCTCGGCCCCCCACCCCACTCCAAATGTAAAGTTTCAATTCTAGCAGGAGGGCCGGGAGGTGGAGGGGGGGGAGACCTTCCCTGGTCATTCTTGGCAATGAGGTCTTCTTTCACCTGTGTATTGGGAAATGGGTCACCTTCAATGGAGGGAAGGGCATGAAGCAGAGTCCTCTGGACTCTACCTGCAGCTCCCCAGTCCCTTCTATCTTCACCTTTCCCGACTCCCTAAGCTTTCTGGGTCATTGAGCCAGGCCTCCTGGTCCCTAAACCTGCTCGAGTATTCTGAGCACAGGAAATCCTTGTCACCTGCAGGATGACCACCCTCTTCCCCACAGTTCCCACCTCCCCGCTGCAGCCACGATTTTTTGGGAGGCCTGGGCTTAAGACCCATTTCCATCTTTCTCTTCCACCTTCTGTCTCCACAACAACAGATCACAAGGGTCTGGTGTTTTCTATAGTGCATTAGTGATGGAGAAGAGGAGTGTCTTTCTCACTGGGCCCAAACTTACTGAGTTCCTGCCTGGCCCAGGGAGACAGAAGCATCTTATTCCCATAAAGCTCTCAGTGGTCCCCAGCCCTGGACCTGTTGGATTCAGCTCATTGGCTCATTCTTCCCATCCTGGGCTCGCTGTCAGCCAATCAGGAAGCAGCTTCACGGAGCCCTCCTGCACTCTCCTGTTGGAGTGGATGTGACTTTGTCTTCCTAAAGGTTGGACAATGGGCAATGGAGGCTGGTTTGACCTCCCGAACTGGAAAAGGACTAGATAATTGGCCCGGGGACAGATTGTGTCTCTGTCATCTAAGCTCACAGTAAGGTCCTCACTAGAAGGTGGCTGCCCAGATGAGGAAACTTTCTTGGCCATGCCAAGAAATACATGGCCCACCCTGATTTTCGACCATCTACAGAGATGGTAGGAAACACAGCAGATCTTGACTATAATCACACAGTTTAAGACCATTTACTAATGAGGGTGTGGAATAGTGAAAAGAATGGGGGATCTGGAGTCAGAAGTCTTGTGTTCAAATCCTGACTCTTCGATTTCCTACCTACATGACTCTGGATGAATCAGTTCTCTGGGCCTCAGAATCCTCCTGTAGGGTGATTGGTTGGACCAAATGACTCCCAAGGTCCTTCTCAATTCTCAAGGATGACTCCTTAATCTCATCTTCCTGGGCCTTTCTTTCCTCCTTTCTTTCTTTCCTCCTTTCTTTCTTTCTTTCTTTCTTTCTTTCTTTCTTTCTTTCTTTCTTTCTTTCTT